GTCTTAATACCAAATTCACATTCAGAAATTGTCTACAAGCAGTTTTGTGCTGTAGTTATGTGTGAGCTTCCGCCAAAGCAAGAGTTTCAACCATGCACCTGAAAGAGGAGTGTTTCTAATAGGTGAACGAACTGGAACTTAGATAATGCACAAATCCTTGTCCAAAACAACAGTAATTCAGCTGAGCCCTAGGTTTTGGGTATCCTTCCTTAGTGCCTTGACTCTGAGCCAATGTTTCCCTGCTTAATAAAAGCATTTCTCTTTTGAGGAAGGTTCTTTCCTCTCTGAGGCACCCAGAACAGATTTTGGAAGGTTACTCTTGAACCACAGTAGTATAGGACCTGATTATAAATAAGACACATAAAAAGTGGGGTGTATCAAAGGCTTAGGAACCGCACAGGCTTCCTTTTAGAATAGAAGGATATAGTTTCCCTATTTTCCCTTTTATGATTTCAGAACTGGTGCCGCAGTTTCACTCTTCTTCCAGATATGTGACTGGTCCTTACTCATTTCTTTTTTACCACATGAAAAGGAATAAATATTTTTCATGCAAGAGATTTTCAAGTTTCAGCCTTGACATAGGACTGGGAGTACTGGTAGAGGGAGGGATGTCCACTTCTGAGTAGAAATGACCTGGAGGAGGCATGGAGGAACAGCATGCGACGCTGGAAGGGAAAGAGATGTGTACAGCTAGAATTTTGCTTGTAAGTGCAACCAGAAATCACATTTCTATCTGATTACGATGATAAACAAGCAATTAAACACACTTGGTCACTCAACAATGCAGCTCTGCCCCATATTTTCCTGTTGAGTGTGGCTCAGTGTCATGATAGAGTTTAGAAACCAAATGGCATAGTGAGGGCAGAAACTTACGTCAGCAGATGTGGCTGGGGTGAGCAGAGAAGAAGAGAGGAAGTGGAGTTGTGTTAATGAGCCATCAGCTGTCACCTGCAATCTTTAGGTGGCAGATGGCAGTTTAGGGACAGACTCAGGGCAAGAATTCAGTATTCCTGAATAAAACATTCTGAATCAGACATGAAGCAAGGGAGGAAACTAAAAGGCACAGAGTTACAGACAATCTAAGTGGGAAAAGGGAAAAAGGAAAGCAATTAACAAAAATTTCCTTATAGTCGTGGCAGCAAGTTGCTGTTCATTACCCTCCTAGGAGATACTATGCCCAGTAGCACTGCAGACTACTGGTATGGTGTTGACCTCAAAAGAGATCTATTACTTCAAGAAATTAATGCAGGCACTGCTTTTACAGGACTAGCCATTGGTGGATTAAAAGAATAAAGGACCTACAAAGCTTGCAAATGTATATAATCTCTTCCTAATTAAGATATTCTTTAAATCTTAATGTATTCTGCATTTCAGGTAATCTAAGACAGCACTGCTCAAAGCACTCTGATTGCATTGTATCTAGGAAGGTATATAAAGGATTTCTCTTGCAATGTTTATGTTGCTTATTGTGCTTCATGAGTACAATAGGCCGGAGATCTGGATATAAGTCCCCAAACCAAATATCTTTCAGTGTAACCACAACACATGCTATGTATAAGCCAGTGCTTCCAGTGTAAGACAGGACAGTCATCATAAAGTAGCTGGTAAAACAGAAGCACAGTCAGAACAACGGTGTTGTCATTTCAGAAGGTGCTGTAAGTATAACTAGGCTCTTGCTAGTGTAAATTGCAGGCTCCAGTGGCTCAGAGCAGTGAGATCTGAGAGATTTTTGTGTGAAGTTATTGCACTGTGTTATGCATTATATTATGGCATTATATTTTGTTGAGCTGTGCTCCTTCTGGTTCAACTTCGTTGAGTAAATGCCCATTATTCTGTCCATTTCAATAGGGCTCAGAGAATACTGTCAGTGCTGAAGCTTTGCCAGCGCAGGCGTTTCTAGTGAGCACATGCAGGGGTGCCTGAGCAGAGCTAGAATTCATGCTCTTCAAAGGAAGGAGCTGCCAGCAGTGCAGTTATCAACTTTCTGTGCGGACATGAGGATTTATTTTCAATGACCTTGATCAGCTGATGACACAAAGGCTTTAAGAGTCCTAAGTCTGTTGGACAGTGGTATTGGCTTGAGGAATCTCACCAGTCTAAAAGAACACTTTGAGAAGAAGGGGAGGTTTGGTGCAGTTAATAATTGTTAGACCTCCTCTTTTGAAGTATAAATCGTGTGAGCCGTAGTTATCTGCTTTCTAATCATACACATATCACAAAACTATTTAGCAACACATCGCAAATTATTTTATACTTTTAGTGAGCTTTTTGAGACTTTGAAAATCACAAAATTAGTCAGCACCACACGAGTGTTCTGGATATTGTTGTGGTTCAACCTGGCAGCTTGCACAAGTGGAATGATGGAGAGAACTGGAAACAAAATACAAATCTTCAGAAGGCGTATTCAAAAGGACAGTGATGTTAGCAACAGCATTTTCTCAGATTTCAGGTATCAATGACTGCATGCTCTCCTCATGCAGTTGCAGTTAGACACTGTCTCACAGCATATTTCTCTTAAGAGAATTCTCTTAAGATCTGAAGAGCCGTGGTATCTCCTGAAGACAGCCTCCCCATTTCTTCATAAAAGGTTGTATTTCAGGAGCAGACCAAGTAATCCCAGAGGTATGCCGTGTCCTGGTCTTGACTTATAGTGGATTTGGGATCTTCAGGATTGAGTGCTACAAGAAGAAGATGGTAGGATGAGGTGTCGTGAGACAGTCGTGACTCCACGTGATTTGAATTTCAGTGTAAGGATCCAGTTTGTCCATGAAACAAACTGTAAGGCATTCCTTCCACAGTGCAGCACATTCTGAGTATGGTGTGTTCTGTGTAAGAAAGCTGTTCCATAATTTGAGGCAAAATTTTAAAAAGTCATTTAGAAATACTAGAAATTCTGTTTGAAGTTCTTTCAGGCCTCAACCGTATTTTGTGGAAGGATAATACAGGATTACTGAAAATTTCCACTGAGTTAAAATTTACTGAATTCATATTTACATGCCTTGTGTGGTAAAAGAATAAAAAAGTTGCATGAAACTAACAGCTATCAAGGATTATTGCTTCCAAAGCTTATCCAAGAGGAGGAGGAGGAGCTCTAAGCAGTAATAAGAATATCGACCAGCTGTGTTGGAGGTGTGTCCTCCATAGACAGACTTCGGTTTTAGACTTTCCTAACTTCCACTGAATCTCTACAGAAAAAGAAAAAGAAAAAGAAAAAGAAAAAGAAAAAGAAAAAGAAAAAGAAAAAGAAAAAGAAAAAGAAAAAGAAGAAGAAGAAGAAGAAGAAGAAGAAAAAGAAAAAGAAAAAGAAAAAGAAAAAGAAAAAGAAAAAGAAAAAGAAAAAGAAAAAGAAAAAGAAGAAAAAAAAGAAGAAAGATAAATTTATTCATTTGCATTTTATATTCTTTCAAATTTAAATTCTCCGCTGTATTTCCTTAATTTTCAAGTCTGCTTTGAAGAAAAATGACAACACTGATGTGTCACACCCTGAAGTGATGAGAAGATACCTGCTTCACAAGCTTCAATTTAACAGAATAGCTTGTATGTCACTCTCTATATGATAAAGTTCTTTGCTTCCAAGCACACTGTCACAGACATACCACACTATGATACCACCTGTGATACACACTTCATCAAAAATTCAGCATGAGATTTTAGGCAGCTCTGAAAACATCAAAGCTATTACTGATCTTCACAGAGGTGAATTTCACCTCTGTCCTCTCTTCTAATAGCATGCAAATTTACCCTGTCATTCCATAAAATCACAGAGAAAGCTTGAGAGAAGGGCTATTTCTTGTATGTTTGTGCAGCATGCCAGCATTGGGTGGAACTGCCCTCCTTTTTCTGCTTCCTGTTGCTGTTGTTTTTCAGTAGTCACAAGTTCTTCATTATTCAAAGTCTGTTGCCTGGTTTGGTTTGAGTCTTCTGGGCTCCAAAGATGGTACTCTCCACAAAGATGCACTGCAATGGGCTGCCTGGGGAGGTGGTGGAGTCACCGACCCTGGAGGTGTTCAAGGAACATTTGGATGCTGTGTTGGGGGACGTGGTTTAGTGAGAACTATTGGCGATAGGCGGACGGTTGGACTTGTAGGTCTTTTCGTCTTCCAACCTTAGCAATTCTGTGAATTCTATGGCAATAATGGTACTTAGTTTCCTATTCTGGCTAAGGTAGATCCTTGCCAATGTGTGTAGCTTTAGGTGTAGCATGTTCACGAGGTGTTTTACCACCTCAGAATGAGCTCTGCATCTTCTGCAGGAGTTTGTTATTTCAGCATTTTTCAAAACCTTTTATTTAGTCAGGTCATATGAGGTTCTGGGTAATGAATTTCCTTTGGAAATCTATCTGATGGTAGTATTGGGCCCCCAGACAAGAAATGGACTGTCTTCATGGTTACAAAATACAGGTAATGTTGTAACTTTACCACTTTCTTGTAATACAAAAACTGAACAAGATGAAGCTTGCAGGGACCAAGTTCAAAAAGAACAACTAGCTACAGATGGTGGAAATCAAATGCATCCAAAGGAAAGCATAGAATTCTATGGAGATTAAATACATCGGCAAACATATAGAAACCACATTTGGTTTCAGAGTCAAAACAGGTAGGGAAGCAAAACACCAGGGGGAAGCATTATATATGCCAGATCTGCACTCATTCTTGCCTGGATATCCAACACAGAAACCATCTTGGAGGCAGCCCCTGGACTACATGGCACTGATCTGGAGCAATGCAACTGCTCCTAAGGCCTTCTGAAGATACAGTAAGTTAAAGCACATGGTGAGCTCTCTCCAAGAGAGTCCTGTAAATCCCATCAGGCAGCTGCTGGCATCTGTGGTTGTCTAACATCTTTGAAAGTCTGACTCAGGGATACTTGCCTCCCAGTAAACACAGGAGATAACTAGATGATGAACTAGATGTAGTCAGAATGCATGAAGTTCACAAACCAAAAGTTTGTTCCTCATCACGCAATTCTGTGCTATAGTCACAAATGTTATGTTAAAGGCATTTGAACTTAAAAATAGGTTTTTTGATGGGTTATTTAGACAGCAATTGAAAACATCACAATATAACAGGTCTGTTTCATAAAGTACAACATGACCTACCTGAGGAGCTAATCGGACTTAGTGATGGTATATTGGCATTTATCTAGCAAATTAAGGCAGCTGCTCGTTATGCACGTAATGTTTTGCTCTCTTGCTCCGACTGTAATTTCTATTATCATCATCTGTCTGGAAATTCTTATTTTAATACATGCAAAGAACTCAACAGCGCCACTTTTATCTCCCGAGACAAAACACATATCTTGGAATGATTCCTACATAGTTCATTGGAATTATGCTGTGAAGAGAACAGTCGTCCTCAGTTTACTTAGGACAGAGCTGCTCTCAAGGCATCAGCTGCAGACAGTGCAGTGGGAAACTTCAGCTACCTAACAGGAAGTTCAGAAGCAACACTGTATTGATGTGGTTGCACAGAAGAAACGTCAGGCCAGGTTACTGAACACCCAGGAGTTCAACTTCATAGGATGTGATCCATGCACAGCACAAAGCCAGCATAAAGGTTCCCAGACGACTTTCCACACTGCAGGAGGAAACAGGCAGAGCCAAGTCGTGCTGGAGAGGGCAGTGTGAATGCAGACACCACCTGAGGATTCTTGTGATTCCGATCCAAACGCAGGAGAGATGCTGCAAAACAGCTGTGGGGAGGGGCTCAGCAGCTGACTGGAGGATACTGATATAGGCTGGGTTTCACTATTACTTAAAGGTCGTGCTACCGTAAAATTGTTCAACATTGCTTGCTGTTTGATTGTAGTCATAATAGATACATCAGTGAAGCATCACCTTCTCGGTGGTACTGCCCATGGCATTGTAGAGATTCTGCCCTTGCTGGAATATAAAGTTAGCATCGTCTCTTAGGTTCACATCAGGAAAGCAGTCTGCACAGCTCAACTGTCTGGATGTCCAAGGACAATGCCTGTTCTTTGCCCACGCTGCAAGGAGAGTGACCATGAATGCACCCTTCCCATCTATTTATCTGTATTAATATTTCATTGTGAGATTTCTCACCACATTGGCTTTTACAGCTGATTTATTTTAAATAACTAAAGCTTATCTTCAGAGGCTTTCCTCCAGCAACACACAGCCTTAAACCTTCCCCTAATCTTTCCAGACACAGCTGCTGAGCAGACTTTCCCATGTCAGCTGTGTGACACTTGAGAAGATTAAATTTAAAGTGGCAGTATTCCTTGTTTAGTAAAAAATACCATTCTTGGATGAAAAGGGAAGTCCCTGTATGCTTCCAGTACAATTATTTGTTTCTGAAGTAAGCTGCCATATCTTAACTGACCTGCTGTTCAGCCTGCATCCACCAAGAGCATTACTTCAATCAAAATGAGTTAAAACAGCTTTATTTCTGAAAAATGATTGTGTCAGGACTCACGCCATTGTCTTTGCAGTCTTGGAGAACAGAAATATGTAGGATTTATCCTCAAGAACAAGATTGAGCATGTTGTGATGCTCATAGAAAGATGAACATAAGGTACTTTTAAAAAGAAATGTTGCCAATATTCCTGGAGCTGCTCAATGAAATGTTTGTACCAGGCATACTACAGTGACCATAAAGAATGCAACAGGACAGAAATACTTGCTTTATATTCAAATTGCCACAAGCATATGTTTTTTTGGTTTGTTTTTTAAAGTGGCTGTCAATAAATGCAGCTAAAGGAACGAGGTGCAGATAGGTGATAGATCTTGTTTGCACCATCTTGGCATCAGAGTTGTTTCCAGCTCACTGCTGCTTCATTCTGCATGGCAGTTAATGTGGACACCTGTCAGATTTCTCTACTGGTCCTTTTGATTACAGTTTCCCTTCTACCCCTACTTGCTGCAGCTGATAGGTGGCAAAAATCAGGTATGTACACTGGAACACCATCAGGGCTTGGATTTCTTTGTTAAATTAAGACTCTGTGAGTAGAAAATAGAGAGAATGGCAGAACAGTGCCTGAGGGAATGCGAATGGCTGGAAGGATCAGGACAGCCTCTTTGGGTAGCAGTTAGTGTGCAGGTAGTTGTGCTGCAATGCAACTTTGACCACTGAAGAACCCGACGTGGAGTGTCTGAGATGGGATAACTCTCAGCCATGATTCAGACCTCAGTCCTTCCCAGGTGCAGCAACCCTGTGCTTCCTTCACAAAGGTCTGTTCTCTCAGTCATGGTTTTACTTTCAGAGTGACACAAAATGATCTGAACTCTTCCATCCTCCCTCCTGACACATGACCTACCTGCAGGCAGAGCAGACTGCAGGAACAGCAGGTTCGTGGACTTCTCATAGCACCCGAGGAAGCAATTTCTGTGCTTTTCTGAAACAGGACAGTCAGGACCTTATCACCCAGCCCTGGTCTTCCTTAAAATGGGGTTGAGAGGAACAACTGCCTCCATATCCACTGCAGGGAACAAGAGAAACTTCCCAAGAAGTCCCCCAGTGTGCAAGCAGCGTTTCACACCTCGGGTCACCTCTCACTGCCACTCTCCCTGACTACCACAGCATTGCAAACATTATCAACACTTGAACTGCTGAAACAACCTCCCTCTGAGGTCTGAAAAGGTCACTGGAATGTGCAGAGGTAAACAGACTGAAAAGTAATCAAGGGCAAAAGAATTCAGTTTTGTTCCAAAACAGTCTAACATCACTGCGAGCTGCAATGTTTGGGATCATTGCAGAAGATTATGGCACTTCTATTAGAGCATTTGGGAGTCACTAAAAAGTGGAAGTGGACCCTGTTTACGTAACTTGTTACTCTGTGAGGTGAGGAAGCACAGCCCTGTCTGCATTTGTGCATATGAAATCAAAGTGAGAGAGGCAATTTAACAGCAAGAAAAGGCTGGCATTTGGCTCATCACAGAGTCACTAACAAAAAGCACACGATCCATTCTGTGTTTGAGTTTTGGCAAAAGTGAAGCTTTATTATTGGAAAGATAAATGCATGATCAGCTGCCAGAACAATGGTATTGGAGAGCATTGCTCTGCGGCCACTCCGAACTCTCACAGCACAGCTCACACTAGCAAGTCCTCATGCATCTGGAGCTGTGCTGCTGTGGGTATCCACAGGTGCCTCTTTACCAGCAGATCTTCTGCACCTTTCTTTCACCTACACAAGCAGATATATTCCTGTTTCTAAATCCCCTGAAAACCAGTGCAGGGAGGATTTCTAGGATTTTTCTCATCAAGGTTTCTTGTCATGCATCCCAGAATCCAGCCCCTACACAGGGAGGTGAGGTGATGGGCAACAGTGAGCAAGTGTATGGTTCAGAAAGGAAGGTGCTTTCCTTTGGTGCCTCAGTCACTGCTACAAAGAGCACATCTGCACTTTGTATGGAAGATAGATAAATGCATTTACAAATCCTGAGAACAAACACAAACTTTATTGTCCCAAATTAAGCACACAGCCAATTTCCTCCTTGCTTGGAACTGCTGACTGCTGTCTTATCTCTTTCAGCCTCCCTTGTTTGCTGTTGGCCATTCTCTGTTCCTTGATCTGTATTATTTTATTACTTTCTCCTACATAAATCTGCTGGAAAAAAGGAGGAACCCAGCCCACATAACCTCCTATGCCACCAGTCACAAACCATCAAAACCTAATTGTGCCTTTCAGTTATTTCCCCCGCAGTAATACCCAGTGCTCCACTCTGTAGTATACCGTTTTGGCAGCATGTAATTTGCAACAGTTACTTTATTTATTGCCACGCTATTTTCCATGCCATAATCCATTCATATGCGTATAAATGGAGTTTGGTCATACCAAGAGATGGGTGTGCATGTGCTTTGGCTTTCCACATGAGGGTGCTGTGCACTCTGACGCAGACACATTCGGGTCTTCCTGCACATCATAACCAGAGATTGCAGGCAAAGTGACCTTCAGCCTGTCAGAGCCTTAGGAGAACGTGTTGAAAAGCATTTCAGAGGATGACTCTTTCATGGGCTGTAACTAGAGGACTTTTGGGACATCTGAACACAGTATTGTCCACACTGAGCGGCTGGTGGGTGACTACTTTCTAACAACACGAGTTGTTGTTTTTAGCTCACAGATATAGAGTAATATAAATAATAACCTGAAATGAGTTCAGCAGCCTATGTTCTAGAGCTATTTTTAAGTACCTCAAACCCTAATTGTTTCATGAAACAACTCAAAGACATCTGATATTTAGGGATGTTGTATGCTTCCTTGCATTAGACCCCTTTGGATGTATCAACATACATCCCCCTAAAACAACTGACACCTTTTAATGCTTTAAGGAACCACTCTCTTCCTTCAGAATGAGAGGCACTCCTAGCCACAGTTCAAAGTCACTGTGATTTATATAAACAACAAGGCAAGCACGGGTCATGTCTCTGTGCTCCTGGTCAAGGCTACTGAACGAGGTTTTGTGTCCTGAATTGCTTTGCTGCACGGAAATGTTCAGGTTTGCGATGTGCTTTGCTGCTTCTATGCTGGTCATTGCTGTGATTACGCAGAAACTGCTGCTCCTGATAGTATGACTCATATTACACCTCCAAACTGAGGAAGTCAGCACTATCGGGGGGGGGGGGGGACAGATGGCTGTGTGGGGGGGAACAGACTGGGCAAAGCCCCTTCCTTTGCTCCAGCAGTCTTAGATGCTTTTGTTTCACCCTCTGCATGCACTGAAATGAGCAGATTTATACTCATGGAAGGCCTAGTTCATATCCGTTCAAAGTCACTGGGAGTTTTTCACTGATGTCAGTGGGCTTTGGATCAGATTCAGAGAAGCTGGATTTATAAATACAGACACTGCAGGCTGAGCACTGTATTAAACTGGTTTTAGACAATCAGCTACAGGAATATTAATGCACGTAGGAGCATTGGGGTTCTGCCAAGGGAGTACGATAGAGCCAAAGATTCCTAAATTTATTATAACTTTAGGGCTGGAACTCTTTGTGTAAATATTCACCAGTTTGTTTGCCCAGATGCTAAAGCATTAATGGCAACCCAGTTACTACAGCAAACTATTTTCAAGCCATCAGTCTGTTACAAGCATGATTCTATCTTGCTTCACTGGAACTGAGCATGTGAAATACAACATGTAAGAGAGAAAACTGTAAGAAGTGACTATATTTGTTTTCAAATTGTTAACACTGCTATCAAGACAGGTATTTATAACAACGCTTATCATATCTATCCTGGCTACAGCTTCAGAAAAGCCTGGAAATAATGAGCTGATGGAAAGCGTTTTAGTAAGATGAGGGAACAGTCTTAAGTGCTGCTAGAATGCATTACAGCACACTGGCAAACAACAGTACACATGATCTGTATTCCCTAGACTTGAAAGCAAGAATGATGGGGTGGAATTTTTTTTGGCCTATGTAATGCAGGAAGACAGAATAGATGACCCTTGCCTTTTTTTTTTTCTTTTTTTTCTGGCCTTAAAATCTACACAGCTGTATTGCAGTGATTCCAAAGCTGTAGTCCACTGTCTCAGCGTTTCCTCTTTGTTTTGACTTGTCCCATCAAGAAGCTGAAATAACATGTAGTACCCAAATCATTGGTTCTCCACATCAAGGGCAGCTGCAGTTCGCTGGGAGACTTCACTCCTCCTTTTTTTCTGCATTTGTGAAGAAAATACTGGGTTCAACTAACCACCCTCACTGTTGGCAAGATTGGGAAGCAAGAGTCTCAGGATGAAGATTCCAACTGCACCTACATTTTTTCATGCAAACTCATGAAAACTGCATATAAACTAACAGTCTAATTCATTAGCCTTACATTTTCAGTTTGCCAGCGATAAATGGCACCATGCAAACACTGTCATACAGTGACAGAGAATATAAGGTCTCTGGTGTCTTTGTTCCTGTGGTATGCCATCCTGTTATTAGGGCTGCCATGGCACATACACCATTCTATACATGTCCTAGCACAGTTGTCCCTTCCAGCTGACTCCCGCTTCTCTTATTACGAAAAACTTATTGGAAAGAAGGGTCAGGCATTGGGAACAGGCTGCCCAGGGAGGTGATGGAATCACAACCACAAAGATGTTCAAGAAAAGGCACCTAGGGCCAATTAGGCTTTAGTGGGCATGATGATGATAGTTGGACTAGATAATCTTGGTGATCTTTTGCAACCTTAATGGTTCTCTGATATCCGTATGATTTGTCCTGGAAATACCAATGCAGTCTGGGTAAGGCAAAAAGACCACATTCTCCATTAATTATTGTAACACAAGAGCCTTCCTATTAGAGCCCTCAGCCTCCTTAGCACATCACTCCTGGTAAAGCTCAGACTGCAGGGTCACCAGAAGAGTCTGTCCTCACCTGTTGGTGCCCTCAAACCCTCTTCATAGAATCACTGAATGGTTTTAGTTGGAAGGGACCTCACATCCCCCCCAGCCCCACCTGTGCCATGGGCCGGGTGCCCCCAGCTCAGCCTGTCCAGGGCCCATCCACGACCTGGGGCAGCTGCAGGCAGCGCCGGGGCCTCACTGCCCTCAGAGTGAAGAATTTCTTCCCCACACCTGACCTAAATCTCCCCTCCTTTTGTTCAGAACCCATTCCCCCTTGTCCTATCACTATAAGCATAAAAAGTAGCTCTCCCTCCTGTTCCTGCGCTCCTTTTGGGCACCAGAAGGCTGCAGCGACGCCTCCCCCGCTCCCAGCGGCCACTAAAGCCCTACAGTCTGCGGGCGACCCTTCCTCAACCGCACGGTACTCCCGGCCCCGCCCCGCGGACGCCGCCTCCTCCAACGGCCCGGACGCCGAGCGGGTCTCCGGAGAGACCGGTTCAGCGCCGCCCCGGGGGGAGAGGAGAGCGAGGCAGCGGCCCGGGGGAGGCGGAGGTGAGGGAGCGTGGAGAGGGAGCGAGCGCTGGCGGGGACGGAGCGGGGCAGCGCGGGGAGGCGGCGGGCCGGGGGCTACGCGGAGTCATCGAGGTTGGGGAGCGGAGGGCGGAGGCTGCGGGGAGGGGAGGCGGTGACCGCGGAGGGGCTGCGGGAGCGGCGCGGGGCACCGCCGGGCCGTGCTGTGCAGCGGCCGGGCGGATCCGCGTCCCACCTGCTGCCGCGCCGTGGAGCGGGGCCGGTCGGCCTGGCTGGCGGTCGGGAGGAAAAGGGCGATCCGCCACACCGCTCTTCTGCACGGGGAAGAGTTCTTTGCTCGCTGTCGGAGCGCAGCGAGGCAGAATGAGATCAGAACAGAGGGGAGGGGTGGCGTCGAGCTGTTCGCGGTGAGGAAGGTCGCAAAAGCCCTTCGGGTGGGCGTCTGGGCGTCTGCGCTCCGAGCGCTTCGCGTGGAAGAGCGGTGGAATTAAAGAAGCATTTTCTTTTCTTGCGAGCAATGACAGCTGCTCCCGAAAAAGAGGAGGCGCTATATTGCAGTTTCCACTTCTGGAATCATTTGAAGCAGTGGATTTTAGAGGCACTGGCGGTTGAATGAGAGAAAAATTAGGTGTCAGAGCGTGAGGTGAATGTTTCCAGATTGGGCGTTGATGAATAATATGAGTTTAGGCTTCTGAATTTTAGCTAGTGAGGTTTGAAAATGTTTGCTGAGTTTGCTTACGCCACTGATCTGCAGCTGAAGGCAAGCCGTTCTCGTTTTGCAAGTTGATGGTGAAGTTGTATTTGTAAGTTGTGCGTAAGTCAAATTGAAGATATGTTGAAGGGGACAAATGTGGGACTTCAGCCCTCCGGAGGAGTCGGGCTGCCTCTGACTGACCAGGGACAACTGCAAGATGCGAAAATGTGCTGATGACTCATCTGCCTGCAAGCTCAGGTTTATTGAGGTATTCAGGAGAGTTACAGAGCCTTGCCATCACAGAGGAGCCTTTTCTCCATTTCTGCTAAAAAAAAAAAAGGAAAAAAAAAGGAAAAAAAAAAAAAAAAAAGCTTTTATATTGTTAACCCAAGGCTGTGTGCTGGAAGATTACAGACAGAACAGGCGGTCAGGTGTTCATGCCAGTAAAGAAGCTGGCAAAATTGAACCATGCACCTGATACTAAGCCAGAATTTCTCACTGTCTGGAGTCAAGACAACTTGTTGAGGAATGCCTGTTCTGGATTATAAACTGTTACAAACTTGTGAAATTCGTATGAAATGTTAACTTTATTAATCTCATTCCCTTCATGTGTTAGAATTGAGGAGGTAGAAGAGAGGGATTTCTCTGTTTGATTGTTGTTTCCAGGCAGGAAAGGAGAGCAATATATACAGTGAAAAATGGTTATTATACTATTGCATTATAATCCTCCTGAGCCCACAGAAACTAGGCTTATTTTTGCAGTCTGTCAGTCTGGTAATTCAAAGGGACTCAGCTTCTCTATTTACTTAAGTCAAGGATTGGGTTCCTGCTATACGAACTGCATGATCGCTAGCAGAAACTATTGCTATATTTTAGCTCTAAGCAAAATAAAAATGTTTCTTCCGGGTGGGTGCCCTTTCTCTTACTTTTTAGAGAGTGTCCAAGGAGACTCTAACCCATGTAGAAATAAAGATGAATGGTGGTGCTTAGGGATATCTAAGCTATTCACTCTTTCTTCCCAAGTTTACCTGGGATGCTTAATAACATGTCTGAAATCAGAAGCTCAGTGGCTGTGTCCTTGTGATATCATCCTTGATATCATTATTGGAGACTTAACATTTCAGTTTATTACTCACTTTTCTTGCAGAAATAGAGCTGAGAAAAGCATCTTTTTAAAGCTCCCTTCTCCTCGACTTGAGGAAGTTCTTTTTCTCCTCATGTGGTGACCAACTTGATTTTTATTCTGGTACTAAAGGTTACTTGTGGTGTTCTGACAACCTTTTGAATGCAGAACTTAAGTAATGCTTGGCCAAAAGAAGGAGCAAGCTCTGAAGAGCCAATATCACAAAAGTAACCAGACTTTTAGAGACCTGGTGCTGTCCAGTAAACATGGGACTTAATTTGTCAGTCATTCCTGCAATCAAGAGTTCTTCTGAATGACAACTGATTTGGATTTTTTTTATTATATTCATAGGCCCAAATGGGGCCAAGAGAGAAAAAGATGTCAGAAAGGAACATCTGATAGTTTTCTGCCCTTTGAGATAGATATCCCTGTTATTATAACTTGAGTTGTTTTTGTGTTTATGAACTCATAAGTGGTTTGAGTTGGAGGAGGCCTTTAGGCATCGTCGAGTCCAACCACCCTGCCGTGGCATCTTTCGCTGGAGCAGAGCCGTGTCCGACCTGGCACTGAGCACTTACAAAATGCTATTCCACAGCTTCTTCGGACAACCTGTTCCAGAGCCTCACCACCCTCATTATGAAAAATTTCTTCCTTGTATCTAATCTAAATTTACTCTTTTGGTTTGAAACCATTGCCTCTTCTCCTGTCACTACATGCCATTGTAAAAAGATGCTGTTGGCATTCTGGGCCACAAGAACACACTGCTGCCTCGCATCCAGCTTTTCATCCACCGGCATCCTGACGTTCTGCTCCACAGGGCTTCTCTCCATCCATCCCCAAGTCTGTGCTGATGTATGAGATTGCCGCAACCCACGTGGCATTATTGCACTTGGCATCATTGATCTTTATGAGGTTCACGTGAACCCACTTCTTAAGCCTGTCAAGTTCCCTCTGGGTGGCATTTCTCCTGGATGGTATTTTGGCTGCACTGTTCAGGTTGGTGTCATCCTCAGACTTGCTGAGGGTGTGCTCACTCCCACTTCTGTGTTGTTAATGAAGTTATTAAACTACTGGGGCCTCTATGGGACATCACTTATCTCTGATCTCCACCCAGCTATCAAACCATTGACCGCAACTCCTTGGCTGCAGCTATCCAGCCAATTCCTTATCCACTGAACAGTCCACCCTTCAAATCCACCTCTCTCTATTCAGAGACAAGGGTGTTGTGTGGGGCCACGTTAAAGGCCTTACAGAACTTCAAGTAGATGACGTTTGTCACTCTTCTCTTGTCCAGTGATGCATTCACTCCATCGTAGAAGGCCACCAGATTGGTCAGACGTGATTTACCCTTGGTGAAGCTGTGCTGGCTGTCTCAAATCACCTCCCTTGATTTCCAGTTGCCTTAATATAGCTTCCAGGAGGATCTGTTCCATGATTTTCTCAGGCACGGAGGTGAGGCTGACTGTTTTGTAATTCCTGAGGTCTTCCCTTCTGACGATTTTAAAATAGGACTGATTTTTTTACTTTTCCAGTCACTGGGGCTTTACCTGTCAGTCATTAGTGGTTCACATGTTGATCTACAGTATCATGGATTTGAGAGCACTTGTAATATGAAAGGAAGACCTGAAAATAAACTGTGATCTGTAGCAGGATATTTTGACAGCTCTTATTGTCGTACAGGTGGGGAACTACTTTTTTTTCTACAGCTCCTTTGGTGTTGGTAGCAGCACATTAACAGATGCCTTCAAGAGAGATCAAAGGGTGTTTTGTTGGAAAAATAGCTGATGCAAGTCTGATCATTATCTAAAGGTTTCTGAAAAGTTTCTGAATCCTCAGGCCCCAAGTTTTTAGCAGTACTACTTTGCAAGTAGAAGTGAAGACAGTCAGCAGTGCTAGAGCAGAAGCCTGAGTGTCCAGAAACTTGAAGACCTTAGTGAATGTTAGTATGTCAGTCTTCAAACAAGTTTTACCTGGATCTTCACCTAAAAATCACTTTCTAGAATGAGCAAAAAGTAATAAACAGCATCCATGTCATGAGGATAATTCCAGCTCTGGTTAAGAGCTGTTCTCCTGGATGTAGATGTCGCGTTGAGATTTGCCTCAAGGGAGCAGTTCGAAGATGCATTCTTAATTCCTTTGACAAGTGTATCGTTTTTCTTACTGATTCTGTTAATTGTACTGTTTTCTTTTTTTGTTTCTAATCATTTACAAAGCTTTGGAAGAACTGATTTCAGAGAAGCTTCTGCATATAAAGACTACACCTTTTTTGTATATTTGATGGTGAGAAGTTCTTATAAAAACAAAATAGTATCTGAAGACAAGAAAACTGGCAGTGTTTTCTAAATGTTTATTCTGCATTATAACTCCAGTTTCTAAAGCACTCAGATTTCTTGCAATATCTTGCAATATCCATGCAAAGCTTTTTGAAATAAATCTACTTTCTGGCTCTTGAATGTAGGCAGGTTCTTCATCTTCTCTCTAAAATGCATCTTTGATGTTATCATGTACTGTATATGTTTCTTTCAGATCAAAGATCGGCTTCCCACTCACTTCTATTGGAAATCCAGGAGAAACACAGAGTATTTTGTGTGTTGAGAAGCTGAAGGTCCATGCAAGTTAGTTGAATTTACTTTGGGCCATGTATGTAAAATACTTATGATTCCTTTTTCTTTTTTGTGTTGCAGATTTCTCTTCCAGAGGTCAATAAGGACTTGATGACATGAATCTGGAAATTTCCAGGTATGGTGTAACAGTTGAAGGTTTGGAGTTCAGGGGAGGTGTTTTCTGCAGCAGCTTGAGCTGCATTCCTGTAGAGAGAAATGAACTCTTCTACCCTGCCAGGCCACTTGTGCTTGTCTTCCCTGCCTCTTGCTTCATCAGAACAAATGATTTTGAAGCTAGGTAGTGAAGAGCACAGATGAACTGGTACGAGGTGAAATTACCCCAAGCATAAAGAATAAGAATTCTAACTGAAATGATTTTCCCAGCCTTACTGCCCATGTGTCCTCTCGAGCCTCTGTGCTGAGTACAGAGATGTGGCACTGAAGTGGGTGTGCTGCTCAGGGATGGGTGGAGATCAGGGCCAGGTGAGTTGGCATTATTGGTTTACCCTGTCTGTATGTTACCAAAACCAGAGACAGCAGGGGTCCTTTCACTCTGGAAAGAGCAGCAATTTCATTTCAAGGCTGGTGGATCTCTCCACCCATTAAAATCGTAGAACCATATAGGTTGGAAAAGAGCTTGAAGGTCATCAGGTCCATCCCTTAACCCAGCACTGCCAGGTCTACCACTAAGCCACGTTCATAAGCACTGCATCTCCGTGTGTTTTAAATACTCCCAGGAATGGTGACTGAACTATGAAGGCTGCTCCAAAAATAATGCCTCCTATATTTGTAATTATGCTGGCCCACGGTGTCAGAGGCAGATGTTGGTGGGATGGCAGTAGAGGTTGAACCTTCCAACCAATATCCCGTTACGTTTTGTTGCTGTGTGACAGATGGCAGCAGAGGGGCAGTCTGACAGGATGGGTCTGACGTGGAAGTGTAGATGAAGCAAAGGTGTGAACTTGCATTCCTCCATGTGGAAAAAATAGCACCCATTGACATTTGTTGACGCTTGCTGAACGTGGATGGAAACCAAACAGTTGATATGAGCGCAGTGGAAGTTGGACTGCTTGGGCAATATTTTCCTAGCAATGTCACCATCATAGCAGTTGTGAAACAGTGGGTCACCTCCACTTGTGCAGATTTTTATAAGTGCAGCATGCAAACTTGTTCATCACTGGTGAAAATGCATAGGTAATGTGGTGACTGTGTTGAAAAATAGAGCTTTTGTAGCTGAGAACGTGCTTTATCAATTGTGTGGTTGTGTTCTTTGTAACTGTTTTATTTCTGTGGAAATAAACAGGAGGCATTGCTTTTGAAGTGACCTGTGTACTTCCCTGGAAAGCTGCTTCACAACCCCTTCAGTAAAAGTTTTTTTTGTGATATTCAACCTAAAGCTCCCCTGGTGCAAATCAAGGCCGTTTCCTCTTGTTCCATCTCTTGCTGCCCGGGAGAAGAGACCAACACTCCTCCCCTCTCTTGAGTTAGCTGTAGAATTGGAAGAATCATTGAGAGAATTGCAAAGGAAATATCTGCTTCCTCCCTCACTGTAGTTGCCCATGCTTCAGTCTTTATTCAGGTGAAAGCAAAGTTAGAAGAGGGGAGAATATAGAATTTCAAAGGAATAACATTTGTAAGTCAAAAGAAATAGTCCATCTTGATTTTCTGTACTAGGGGCTCTAACTGGCATGTTTGTTCTCTGAAATACTGAAAACTGAGTGCATAATTCTAGATAGATGTTTTTTGTTCTTTTTTAATTTGAATGCTTTGAGTGCATCCAAATGTTTCTGTGTCATAACAGGTTCACACTAAAATCCAATGTAAACAAGGGAGAGCAGTTTTGAGCTGACTCTGCTTCAGTTGTGAAAATGGAGCCTGTTGATAAGAACAAAATTGTAATGAGATTTCCAGTGTCAGGATGGTTTATTGTGGTCTGTGTCTTATCTCCTGCTTGCACTGCTGATGTCCATTCCAACTTTCTTTGCTGTTGCAAGAACACATGTATGTTCACCTGAGGGCAAAGGGGAAAGCAAAGGTTGTTATCTGATACAAGAACTTACTTAAAAATAGATTGTATAATTATTTCTTAATAGTAAACAGAATTAATGCATTAATAGAGCATTGCATACGCATCTGTAGTGTAACATGTCACAGGTGTAGAATTTATGCTGCTATTTGCATTGCAGTGCAGTGCACTGCAGGCTGTGTTGTAAAAGTTCCAGCTAGCTCTGTCTCTGGATCTGGAGAACATCTAATGAACAAGTGTATAGAAAACACTGCCAAGAGCCGGGGCACTGCATCCTTGCCCAGCAGGAGATAAAGCATAGGCAGTGCAGTCTTGTTTCATTACGCAGCACCAGACAGTTCCGGGAGCTGTTACCTACCTGGGCTGATGTCTGTTGCAAGGCTGCCATTGAAGGGCTAAGCTGTGCAACCCAGTGTGCTCCACCAGCACATCACTGCTTTCTGAAGAGGAAGACAGAGCTACTCTCCCTGGTCCTCATGCCAGTGCCCTTGCTCCGTATCCTCAACTTCTGTTGTCCTTGAGGTAAAGGCTTTCATTTCATTGTGGGTCCCTGTTGTATGCATAAATTAGCCTTTAGGACGTCTGCATCAAAATTTGATACTTAATTCCACTGGCATTTCATGGTAGGGTCTTCAAGCTAAAGAGAAATGAATCTGTTCTTCCCAGACTTGAAAACACACTGAAGGCTGTTTGTTCTGTTGAGGCTGATTTCTGTAGGTATTTGTGTTTGCTGCAGAGCACACCTCAGCATGGTTTGATCATAATTGCGCACTGTGTTGAGGACCCAATGCATGTTCTCCATTCCTTTTAAAAATATGCTTTGGTTTTAGTTAATGCAAGAGTAGGCTTAGTTTGAAAACATAGAAAATATGGTTTAAGAATACCAACTGTGGTAATCCCATTAGTCTAAAGAAAAGTCTAAAGTCTAGGTTTTTTTGAAGCTGGTTATGAGTTTCTTTACTTTAAAAGTCAGTTCCAAAAATCAAAAGGCTCTTCAGATGTTTATGAGGTTATTGTGCATATGGCAGCAGACACGAGTATGGCATATGCCTTCCAGCAGAATGAGCACCAGGGCTCTGTATCAAAACAAGGCAAAAGAATCTTGAAGGAAGGAAACAGGCTCTGCTCAGGTTGTGTTTTGGTAATGTTTTTACCCACTGGGGGTACTGCCTGAGCTTTCTGGGGCAACTCCTTCCTTACTGTCCATCTGCCTTTGTATGTATGTAAATGATCAACTAATTCTGGGGGATCTGAAAGATATGTCAGAGAACGTTTGATATTTTCAAAGAAAAGACCAGAAGATTTTATCTGTTTGGAGATAACACTGAAGTGAAACCATAAATTCAGAATTCCTGAAATAGTGATTGTTACAGGATTCTTCTCGTAAGGTTGTTTTCCCCCAGTAACGACATTGATTTGTGGTGAACTGAAGAAAGGAGAAAATGACCCTGAGGATCTGTATTTTAAAAATAAACCCTGAGCTCAGCCGGCAGCGCTCTGAGCCAGCAGTGCAGCCGAAGACGTTTGCTTTGTGCAGTGAGGCCACAATGTCTGTGGCTGTCACTCTGGCCTTGGCTCCGTTGGCTCATTCAGGCTCTGTGTCCGGTGCAGGTGTGATTGTCCCGGCGCAGGCAGGGCTGAACTGATGGCTACAGAGCAGATATGGCTACAGGCAGATCCATGTATTTATTGTAGAGTGAATGCAGAATAGAAGAAATGTGGCATCTGGGTCATCTGTCACAGTCCCATCACGTCTGCAGTGTAGTACAGGGACTACTCAATAGAGAGAGGCAGAAGCTGTTGCTTATGGAAGAACTGTTAATAACAGACAGAAGGCCACCCAGGCTGAATAGTGTAAGGAATCTCTGTGTGCATTTGTTGGGATTTCTCGTGGAAATGATCCCATCGTGCATCACATTCAGAAAGCTGGATTTGCTGGATGCATGGCGCGGTGCAGCTGCAACGTGAAGTAACGTGGTAAATAATTGACTGGCCCGTGATGGTGTTTTGATGTAGGAGGTAAAGCACAGGGGTGCAGGTTCTTGTGATATTGGGTACTTTTCTAAAAAGAAGAATGAAGAGGGAGAATCGCTGTTGAAAGAATTGGAGAGTTTTACATTCTGCATTTGAATTGTTGGTGCACTGATAGATACTGAAATACATATACATATTTTTAATAAGCATTATCACATGTTAGATTGCATTACCGATTAAGAAGTGGTCACAGAGTGATCACTGGGAATGTAGGCGTTGATCTCAGATAAAATTGTAAGTTTTGTGTTTTGAAATTAAAGAATGATAATAATAAAAATGTATTAAAAGCTTATCATTTAAAAAATCTTAATTTTAGAGTAATTAATGTTTCATTTTTTCTCTCTTGGGCTTTGAAGCTGCCTGGGAGTTTGTGGGAACAAATAACCTGGGAAACTGATGGAACTGTTGATACTGAAATTCAGAGCCAGCTGGTAGAAAGTAATTAAAGCCTGTGTGTTCCCTGTGTGAAGGAGGAGAGTGGGGATTGTGTGAAAAGCCATGATCTGCACCCGTAGGTGTGCCAAGCCGTTATGTAATGAGGCTTCCTTCAGCCTCATGCAAACAAACTCATCATGTGTGGAATGATTGATAAGCTCTTTTCTAGTCTATTTTGGCATTCAAGATGATCCAGTTCCACTCTGGTGTTTTAGCTTTGTTCCTTTGTCATTGCATTTTCTTATTTATCACAACATTCTCTCATTTTGACCTAAGATTAGCGGTTTGGGAGTTCAGTGGGACCTCATGGAACAGAGCAGAAAGCCTCGCCAAGGCTGATTCCTGAGGAGAAACTACAAAGGGCCGTCAAACCTGAACCGTGTGACTAATAAGACATATTTATGCTTTGAGTGGGCTGAAAATCAGGTGACACGTTGGACAAGCACTGTGCTGTTACGTGAGCTTATGTGAAAAAGACTTTATTGAGAGTTGCATGGTATTTTAATTCTGCCTTTCTCTTCCTCACTTGGAAATGGTATTATAATTTCAGTTTATACAGAAAGAGCATTTCCTAGTGTTTATGATTGCATCAAAAAGTTTGAAGATGTGATTAAAGTATGGCCTAAGACTTGGAAATTTGA